AAGTCTCCTCCTCTTCACCTCAGGAGTTTTTCCTTTTGTTTGGTTGGGGTTTTCTTTTAATTTTTTGCCATGCCATGCAGCTTGTGGGATCTTAGTTCCTGAACAGGGATTGAACCCAGGCCCTTAGCAGTGAACAGAGTCCAAACCACCGGACTGCCAGGGAATTCCCAGGAGTATCTTTTGAATGTATTCTTTCCCCTTCATCCCTCCTGTCATCGTCTGAACCCAGGATCATCCTTTGGTCTGTCCAGCAAGCATCGAATGCCCGGTCCTGCTGGGTGCGTACCCCGTACTTTCTTCCTGCTGCCCACCCACCTCACCACTGCCAGGCTGCTTTTTACTCCTAGATCTTTTCTGAAAACTTGCTGACATTGCCCCATGTATAGGATAGAGCCCAGCCCTCCCTGTCCCCTGCCCCGCCTTGCCTTCCCATTGTCCCCCTCAATGTCCTCCCACTGCGTTCTCTTGCCTTCCTGAATGCTTTGCTGTTCCAGAAATATGCCACATGGCTTCACGACTCCATACCCCTGGACACGTTGTCCTATGACTAGAATTATCACCGGCTTCGTGCACCTGTCTTGCCTGTCCTCCAAGACGAAGCCGGAGTCTCTGCCCCGAAGTCCCTCCGGCTCCTTGCCGGCCAAGGCCAGGACGGGTCACTCCCTCAAGTTCCCACAGTGCCTGCGAGTCCACGGCATCCATGACCGCTCTGTGTGTTTACTAATAGGTTTTTCCCCTGAGACTGGGCAGAGTTAGCATCTGTTCATCTTTGTATCCACTGAGCCAGGCCCTCAATGCTTATTCTGTTTAAAACCTAGTGTTTGGGGGAATTCCCTGGAAATCCAGTGGTTAGGACTCTTACCTCTCACTGCCAAGGGCCCAGGTTCCAATCTCTGGTCCGGGGTCTAAAAAAATCCCACAAGCCCTGCAGCTTAGTCAAAAGAAATAATAATAGTAAATTCATAAAAGAAGATGTTTGGTTGGATATGCTGCCCCCTACCCCACACTCCGTAAAGTACCACCTGACCCGTATATGATGGTGTAAAAACAGCTGATCACTGTTTGCTGCTCTCAGTCAAGAGCCAGCCCAGCCCAGGCCTTGCAGTGCCAATGGCTGTTGGCCTGGCTCCTTCAGCCCACTGCCGTGGCTCAGTGAGGTGGACTGGGCACCCGGGGCAGCTTCAGTCACCTGCCGCTTGAAAGATTTCAGAGGTCAAGAGTCATTTGGCACTAATGCTGAGTCACACTGCCTTTCATTTGTCAAGACAATTGCCACCCAACTTTGACAAGTAAACAGCACGTGGGTTCTTATGTGTGTCCCGTGATGTTGACTGTTTCTTATTACGTTAATCTTAGTTTACAAAGTGTTGTCATAACCCTTACTTCATCTTACCCATCCTAAAGTAAATCCCTTTGGTGGTAAAAATCTGGAACAAATGCTTACTTGGGAGATCCGTGTGGGTGAGGTGTCCCTTATCAGTGAAAATATTTTGAACTTTATAGTTAGATCTGGGTTCATATTTTTTATCTTGCCACTTCTTAGTTCAGGTTGAATAATAATAACTTCTGGGGTCCAGTCCTTAGAATGCAATAGTAACCTACCTTGTTAGATTGTTCTGGGGATTAAATGAGAAGACATAGACAAATTGTCCAGAGCTTGACAGGAAGTCTGTGCTTATTAACTTGTAATCCCCTTAAATTCTAAAGAGGAAGGGAAGAATTACTTCAGAATTTTTTCCCCTCCAGATTTAGCCTGTCAATAATTCTTTATTATGCTCTTATTTTACAAAGCATTAAATACACTAGGAGTTAAATAGCGATATATGTGTACATGACATATGCTTGTCTATGTACTTCTGGAAGGATTCATTAAGAACTGTGAGTAGTGCTTACCTTGGTGAGTTACTTCTTTTTTTTTTTTTTTTTTCATTTATTTTTATTAGTTGGAGGCTAATTCAAGTGAGTTACTTCTTAATGAAGTTCCTTAGTGCTGATGTTTTCAGAAACTTCCATTGTATCTCTTTCCTAGTTTTTCATAATTGTTATTCCTAAAGTCTTAAAATTCATTTAACCAAAACATATTTTTAAACACAATTTCTGTTTAGTAAATTGGAAATCTAAAATTAAAACTCGAGGAACTATACAAAGTCCTGCTCACAAATATTAAAACTTTCTACTTTGCATGTCACTAATTTTTTATGCTTGCCATTTTGCTTCATGATATTATTTAACCCAGTATCCTAAAACGTGGTGTGTTTAAAATACTTTAAACACGGGACTTCCCTGATAGAACAGTGGTTAGGACTCAGCGCTTTCACTGCATAGGACCTGGATTCAGTCCCTGGTTGGGGAACTAAGATCCCACAAGCCATAGGGTAGGGCCAAAAAAGAAAGGAAAATGCTTCAAGCAAACTGACCAAATGTTTTTATTTTTACTGAAATGAATTTTACCATGACTCATTGGAGAACTGCCATCTTCAGAATTAGTTTATATAATTAAAGAATGAATTGAAAACAGAGATAAATACCATATGATTTTGATTTTTACTAAAGGGCTAATACTTAAGGGCTTCCCTGATAGCTCAATTGGTAAAGAATCCGCAGTGCAGGAGACCCGGGTTCCCAGGTTCAATTCCTAGGTCGGGAAGATCTGCTGGAGAAGGGATAGGCTACCCACTCCAATATTCTTGGGCTTCCCTTGTGGTTCAGCTGGTAAAGAATCCACCCGCAATGCAGGAGACCTGGGTTCGATCCCTGGGTTGAGAAGATCCTCTGGAGAAGGGAAAGGCTACCCACTCCAGTATTCTGGCCTGGAGAACTCCATGGACTGTAGTCCATGGGGTTGCAAGGAGTCACACAACTGAGCAACTTTCAAAGATCTAATCGTTTTTATATATAACTTTTTTTCGTTTTTTAAAGTAGTTTTAAAAATAATTTTTAAATCTCTGACCATTAATCAGGTACTGTCCTACATGTTTTAAGTGTGTTAAACATGTACTTATTTAAAAATATACAAGAGAGGTATTTCCCTGGCTCAGTGGTTGAGACTTCCCCTTCCAGTGCAGGGGGTGTGGGTTCAATTCCTGGTGAGGGAACTAAGATCCTACATGCGTTATTTTATTTAAAATACTTGCCCTTTTAACTTAAAAATTGTTATTGAAGTATAGCATACAGTCAAGAAAGTACACAGATTCTAGATTTATAGCTTAATGAATTTTTCCCAGTATAAACACAACCATGTAACCAGCACCCACGTCAAGATACAGGACATCACAAGCCCTCAAAGCCCTTCTTGTGTCCCTTTTGGTGAGCTCTGTCAAGGGTAACACTACCCTGACTTCTGACATCTTGGATTAATTTTGTCTGGTTTTGAACTTACGTATCTGGCTCTTCCACTCAGTGGAAGAGTAGAATTTTATGTGATGTGTGAATTGTAATTCATTCATTCTTTTTTTTTTTTTGCCACGCCATGCAACATGTGGGGTCTTAGTTCCCCGACCAGGGACTGAACCTTCAGCCCTTGCATTTGAGGTGCAACAGAGTCTTAACCACTAGACCACAAGGGAAGTCCCTACCAGGCTTTAATTTTTTAAATCTTTTCTCAGGTTATATATACCTATCTAGCTTACCCATAAAGGAGTTTTTAAACATGCACTTTTAGATATTTTAGCTAATGTTAAGTATAAAAATAATATATGTATATGGAAAATTCACAGAGTGCAGAAGGTTAGACAGTGAAAAGGAAAACTCACTCCTCACACCCCAAGCCCAGTCACATAGCCTGGATGTCCTCACTATTAGCATTTCACTGTGCGTGTGTATTTATGGCACTGTTCTGGGCCTGCTTTCTCCATGGAACTCATCTCAGATACCAGCATGTCAGTGTGTGTAGGTGTGCCTCATTCTTTTTAATGACTGCATTCTGTCCTGATTTTGGATCTGCCTTGTTTTATCTGACCAGGCCCCATTAATGGAGTCCAGATTGCCTTTACCAGGAACAAACTGGAAGGCAGTGAGGAATGCTCTCCTGCATTCAGCTGTGTGTACTTGTCTAAATATAGCTGCCCTTCGGACATAACTGCAAGTACAGCCCTTAGGCCAAAAGGCCTCCACAGTTTGCATTTTGCTGTAGATAAATGCCACACTGCCCTCTAGGGAAGTCACACAAATCTGTGATCCCACTAGCAAGTATATGGGAGTTAAACACTCAGCTCAAATTTCACTGGTAAAGTGTTGCTTGTTAGTTCAGTCAGATTTATCATCACTCCAACAGTGTGTACAGTAGAAGTTCAGTTATAAGATGAAAATTAGCAAGTCATTTATATGTTCATGAGGTTTATATTCTTAAGTTTTTGTGAGTTAAAAATCCTGACTCTAGGGGTAAAATAATTTTTTTAAAGAAGGAATTCATGTCACTTTCTCCGTATATTCCTTTTCACATTTTTTATTGTGGTAAATTACATAAAACATTTGCCATTTTTAAGAGTACAGTTCAGTGGCATTAAGTATATTCACACTGTTGTATAATTGTCACTGTTATCTACCTGCAGAACCTTGTCATCTTCCTCACCCATTAATATCTCCCCGTTCTCTCCTCTGCCCCTGGAACCTACTGGTCTACTTTCTTTCTCTGTGAATTTGACTGTTCTCAGTTTCCAAGTATGTTTTTCCTATGTTGAAAATTTTCCTCGGAGGAGGGAAGAACACAGTGGGACTCGTGGAGATGCACGTGAGGATTCTCCGAGGATTGCCGAAGTTCCTTTTCTCACACTTTGCTCCTGCGTTCAGAGTGCACACGGTTGGTGTGGAAAGTGGACACATGATATCTCAAGTTCTAGAGCAGGGCTTTGAATGTGTGCCCAGGGCGTGTTTGCTGATGGATTGATGAGTTTATGAAAACGGTGTGCCACGCGCTGCCACCCAAAGACCCTGACATCTTTGTACCTCTGATTAAACTCAGATTTTTTTTTTTTTAACTCAAATTTTTGCATTTGTGATTCTGTAGGAAATTGACATCTTCCAATAACAGACCTCGAGAGGACAGCTGGTTAAAATCCTTGTTTGTCCGGAAAGTTGACCCAAGGAAAGATGCTCACTCTAACCTCCTAGCCAAAAAGGAAACCAGCAGTCTGTACAAATTACAGTGTGAGTCCTAGGTTTGCTATCTTCATAGTTAACGTTTTTCCCTTGGTTCATAAGTTTATCGTTGAATTTTCTTTTGTTTCAGTTCACAATGTTAAACCGGAATGCCTAGAAGCATACAACAAAATTTGGTGTGTATACCAAACTATCCTTTACTTGGGGAAAAGTAATGATTTTAATATTTGTTGGTTGCGCTAACCCTTGATAGCAGAACGAGATCTTTCTTGCCTCTTCTTAAAGCCAAACATTGAGAGGCTCTTAAGTTGAGCTCTGTGTGGGGTTACCAAGGGCATTCTGATTTTAAGCGCTGGTTCACCAAAGTCTGCATAGACTGTCAGACTTTGGAATGTTACTAGACTTTCAGGTTGCAAGGAACCTTGCTAGTCTGTGCAGTCCAGCTACTCATCCAGGGCTTGAGTCTTTTCTGGAGTCCTTCCTGACACTGTTCTCAAATACATTCATAGGCTCCATCTCTGAACAGCTCTGAACATTAAGAGTTAGATTGCACGTCCCTGGGACTGCCCCTATTTCCAGTTTTACGCCGAAGTACCCCTGCAATGTGAGAGCCCTGTATGATTTCAGTAGAGCTGCCATTTCTTTCAGTCTTCCATCTGCCTGGGTTCAGATCCATTCAGCAGATTCTTAGAGTGATGTGAAATCCATATACTCTTATAGAATTTGTAAACTTTAAGACCAAAGAGAATTAAGTGTACCAGCTCTTAAGTTAATAGAAATAGCAGTTCAATGATCAGTTGTCTGCTAACATGATTTAAAAGCACTTTTTAAAAGCCATTCAAATCTACTGCTTTCATGAGAAAGCAAATGATTTTGTTACCAGAATCAGCCTAACTTTCAGAAGCAAAAAAATCTTTTGTTGTTTTATTTTTGGAGGTGGGTCTCAAAAGTTAACATTAGGGTAGTTTCTTGCTCACCTCGGCACTGTTCTCTTTATTTAAAAAATGACCTAAAACAAAGCAGATGGTTAACCCTCTTTTCATAAGATGAAAATTTTCTGTATGCTTATATTTCCCCGGATTATCTTTCCTGTTCTGTTTTTTTATCAGTTCATCTCCTGTCTCAGATTCCTGCCCATCTACTCGTGTTTCTATTTGAAAGTCTTGTTCTCACTTCAAACTCAAAATGTAGAATCACCCCGCTCCTCCCGCTTCCCCATATGTGAGACTCACTGCGGTTTTATTGGCTCTTGCCTTAGTTTGCTGTGACCAGTCCGTCGCTAAGGGCTGGGCGTCTTCATTTGACGTGCATTTTGCTTCTCTTTGCTTGTTGCCCTCTCCAGGCCGGCTGAGGCCCATTTCCAGGTAGCCCTTTCTGACTGCCTTCCTGGGCTTGAAGCTGCACCGGTGCCTCAGACCTTCCCTCCCCACAACCCACTGCAGTCCGTTACCCAAAAGTTTGTCAAATTGGTCTGCTTGAGTTCTTTTCTCCTTCATCCTGTTTGTTTTCCTTTTCTCTGGAACTTTCAGCAGCAACCTGTTTCCAGTACATAAAGACTTAACACCTGCCTGGTTTTTAGGGGCTCCAGTAATGCGGTTCTGCCCAACCCATCCAGTTCTGGTACTAGGGTTAGCTACCTAACAGCCCCGATTCACGTCAGTCATCTGTGCAGGCTTCCGTCAGCCACACTTGCTCCAGTGCTGGGTTCTTTACTTCCTGCTCGTGTCATATGGCAAAAAGAAAACCCACTTGTTTCCTTAACATAATCCATCTTTCCCAATTTCCGTCAATCCCGTGTTACTTCTGAACATTCATGGGTCATATATCAAATAGATTTAATATCTGGTCTTAATTGTAAAAGTAAATGCTACCCTTCAAAAAATAATACATGGTTTGGTCATTGTACTTGGTCAGAAAGACATTTGAGTTTTCAGTTAGTTAGACATAAGACCATTCAGAGCTTTCTCCATTATCCAGTCACATCCACCCCGTCTTAGGGCCCCAACATCGAGTGATGATCACTAGCTTAATATCACCTGATGTCAGCAAATAATCTGAACAGTTTCCATTTCTGACCCTTGATATCTTTTTGTACCCATTGTTGGATCTGTATTGTACTTCTTCATCTTAATTTTTCTACTCAAAAAAGCGTGCAGGTTTTAGCTTTCCTCTTGGTATGATTCAGCTATGCCTCTTCCCTCTGTCTTTCCCTGTCCATTAAACTCTGTACTGTGGGAGGGTTTCCGTGGGATGAGGCCCTGCCACCTCTGCTAGCTAACACCCTGCCCTGACCACGTGTGATGGACAGCAACAGCCTGGGCACTGTTTCCAGCGTGGCATTCTGCGATACCTTTCACATCCCCTTAGCTGGTTGAATTGGGTAGAAACCAATTTGTACTTCATGTTGTGTCTTTCGTTTGGATTCTCCTGCACCATGGATGCCCATGGTGGGGTGGAGGTGCTTCCAGACTCTGTTGTGTTTCAGCTTCATCTTCTTCCTTAAAGCCCACCCGTCTCTGCCCCTGCTTCCTCTGCCTCTCAGGCCGCTTCTGTCATCTCCCCCATCCTCAACATTACTTTCATCTATTTCTTGCTTCTCGCACGTTCTTTTCCCATTACTCTCATCCGTCCTATCTTTGGAACCACCAGAACTTAGCTTTTATACATATCACCATTCCTAAGTGCTTTTTTCTCCTGAAATGATGAATAATAGACTCATAGTTGTGGAATTCGTGGACCTTTGGCTCTTTATCATTTTTATCAATATACTTGAGTTACTTACCACTGTTCTAGATAGCTGGGTTATCAGTCACCTAAGCATTTGATAACTGGGCCATTAGAGTTTTACAACAGAATTCAGCTAAAAAGGTAATTCTGTCGTTTGTTGCATCATAAACGTATTCTGAGGTCAGTTGTCAGAAGACAGAGTAGATGACCTTTTCCTATTATTGACCGTGTGTTATCCACCTGATGTAATTTTGTTGCTTGTTTAATTAGTGTTGCTCTTTCTTCTCTTTAAGTCAAGAGGTGTTGCCAAAGATTCATGAAGATAAACATTACCCTTGTACTTTGGTGGGGACTTGGAACACGTGGTATGGCGAGCAGGATCAAGCTGGTAGGAAGCAGAAGTCTTTGGAATAAACACTTGTTCCTTAAGCCTTTACTGTCATCACTTAAATGATTTTCAACTTAGTGCTTGTTTTTATAATCAAAGTTTTCCAAGTCTTTGATCTAGCGTTATGGTTGAAGTAGTTTCTCAGTAAATCACTGCAAAAACTCCTTTTTGATTATTTTTCACATTTGAATCTATTATAGAAACTTTACGGTATAACTCAGGCCAACACACATTACAGTTTTATACTGTATTAACACTAAGCATATCTGGAATATTTTCAAGGTCAGAGTATCATAAAAGTCTAAATGTACGTTATCTTTTAAAATATATTTCAGTTCACCTTTGGAGGTATGAAGGAGGCTATCCAGCCCTCACAGAGGTGATGAGTAAACTCAAAGAAAATCAGGTAATAATTTTGAAAAATATTTGCTTTATTCAGACTACCGATATAGTAGATGTTAGTACAGAATTAAATTACTCTTTTCTAGCATCAGTTTTTGTAAGCAAACTGTTGGTTTTTGGTAGTAAAGATTTTATTATTTGGTTTCTTGCAGTTGTATTTGAACAGAGTCATCAGTTATAATACTATTAGAATAACAGTTCTTATTGTAAAAGTCAGTTGTACTTTGAAACTGATAGGCTGGTACTTTGAAGCCAGTAGTTAGCCTAGTCACCATAGTCAGCCTGAGTTACCTAACACATACCTGCTTTAGGAACTGCCAACCACATATTCTTCACCTTGGGCTGACTTTGCTGTTCTTCCCTCCCTTCACTAATAGAAAAGTGTTCATGGAAAAATTCTACCAGCTTAACATTATTAGAGAAGAAAATGTTTTGTGTAGATTCCCTTTCCCTATATAAGTGGCTTTTAGATTATCTGATGTTTTGAGGTATCCATGTCATCTGCCTTAAGATGCTGTCAAACACTGTCAGGACGACCTAAAAACATAGGAAATTAAATTTGTTTCCATTGTCATTTAAATAATCAAGATGACTATGAAGTTTGTTGTATAAACCTGGACACTTTTGAAAGTGAAAGGGAACGCTAATAGCCATTATGCTGACTCAGCAAGATGTGAACTGGGACTGTCTCAAGCCAAGGGACCCTGTTTATAATAGTATTCTACTAGAAGAGGAACATACATGTTACTTGGGTAGGTTTATATTGTATATAAATATTAGCAAATCTCATGAGCGCCTTTGTTCACTCAAAGGAATTTTCAGAATTCCGTAAGGCAAGAAGCAACATGCTTCTCTCGAGAAAGAATCAGCTGCTGTTGGAGTTCAGTTTCTGGAATGAACCCATCCCACGGTCAGGACCGAACATATACGAACTCAGATCCTACCAGCTCCGAGTAAGTCCTGGAGTAGGAGGTCACCACGTCCCCTCGTTCTTGTGTGCAGCAGGACACACACCCCTGTGTTGAGAGCAGTCACTGGGCATGTGTTCTGTGATGTGTGCTTGGCTCATTTTCTCCCCTGTCCAGTTCATTTTCTCTCCTGTCCAGTTCTTCTCCTCATTTCCTTTTTTAGTTTGTTTGGTTTTTTTTTTTTTTTTTGCTGTGCAGTATGTGGGATCTTAGTTCCCTGACCAGGGATCGAACCCATACCCCTCTTCATTAGAAGCAGAGTCTTAACCACTGGACCACCAGGGAAGTCCCTTGTTTCTTTTTTTTTTTTTTTTAATCTTCTTTCTCATTCTTTCTCTTCTGCTAAGCACATTTGTTTTTTATAGCCTTAGACATAAGAGAAAAGACCTAAAATGCAGGACCAGGTACATTATATAGCATCTATTGTCATTGAACTAGAGCAACTAATAAGCGTGTGATTACGAATACATTATACAGCACTGTAAGAGAAAAGGGGAATAATATTTCTACAACTTTCTAGATGTTTCCCTGCTAGGACACAACTGAAAAAAAAATGTCCAGATAACGGCATAGTTAAAGTGAAAACATATCAGTAGATCTCAGTGGTCTAACATTCAGTATTATACTGGGGGGAGGGCAGAAATCAAGGAATGTCTTTGTTAGGTTTACTTAAATTGAATTATTTTAAAATTTCACAGTAGGGACTTCCCTGGTTAGGACTCTGTGTTTCCACTACACAGGGCATGGGTTCAATGCCTGGTCGGGGAAGCAAGATCCCACATGCTTCACAGCAAAAAAATTATTAAATAAAAAACTAAAATTTCTCAATAAAGTCTGATAGGTACCAACAATTTAATCATGTTTTGGCCTAACTGATTTTCATAGCTATAACTGGATGACCTTAACTCTTAACCTTGTGTATATGTTGTCTCCTTAGATGAAGCCATAGGATTATTACTCCCACTATAGGATAGGTATGAACAGAGTGCATAATGTTGCTTTGTTACATTTTTTTACTTGTTAGATCTCACATTATTAAAAGTTAATTTTTTTGTTAGTCTTGTTATCTGATATTTTTCATGCTGCTGTTTCCATATTTCTTCATAGAAAAATTAACAAATGAAATCCAAATCTCTTTTCAGCCAGGAACTATGATTGAATGGGGCAATTACTGGTGAGTATATTACCAAATGATGAGTTTGTAAGTCTTAGACTGATTTGTAAGTCTTAGAGTCTTTTACCCCATAGTGTTAATTCTAGAAATAAAATCTGGGGTCCATGCCACAATTTTATATTAGACTGTTGTTTTGTTTGACATATTTGTATTATGAGATTTTTCAAACAAGTACAAAACTAGAGAGAATAATACCACCAGTCCCCCTTCCTTCCCCCTATTGCTTAACTTCAGTAATTATCAACACATGGCCAGTCTTGCTTAAGTCTAAATGCCCCACCCAGAGTATTTGAAAGTAAATCCCAAACAACATAACATTGCATCTCTGGGTATTTAAGTGAGCATATATCTCCCAAGAGATAAGGACTCTCTATAAAAACAAAACCCCAGTGGTACATGAGGTTATTTCATATTCTTGGATATTATCTTTTCTGAAATGTTGCTTTTGTCACATAAACAGGACACCACAATGATATAACTGCTTCCATTTTTTCTTCTTTTTTTAGTTAGCAAAATACCAGTTTTTCTATCTTGTAGATCTACAGATTCAACAGAATCCCAGTCAAAATCTCAGCAGACTCTAAAAATGCAAAGGACCCCAAAATAGTAAAACAGCCTTGAAAAAGAGGAACAAAGTTGGGGGACTCACTGCTCAACTTCAAACCTGACTACAAAGCTAGAGTAATCAAGACAGTATGGTACTGACCTACAGACAGCATTTAGGTCAATGGAATAGAGTTGAAAGATAAGAAACAGATTTTCACGTATGTGAACAATTGGTTTTTGACAGATGTACAAAGGCAATTCAATGGGGACAGATAGTCTTTTCATCAAAGGGTTCTGAAACGTTGGCTATCCTTGCAGAAAGATGAATTTAGATCCCTACCTCATATTATATACAAAAATTAACTGAAAATGAATTGTAGACCTAGGTGTAAGAGCTAAAATATAACATTTTCAGAAGGAAACATAAGGGAAAATCTTTGTAACGTAGGGTTAGGCAAAGAGTTCTTGGATAAACACCAAAATCACAATCTACAAAAGAAAAAAATTGATAAATTATATTTCACCAAAATTAAAAAACCTTTGTGTGATTCAAAGGATACAGTTTTAAAAATTAAAAGAGAGGTCACAGACTGAGAGAAAATTTTGCAAATCACATATCTGATAAAGGACTTATATCCCAAATATATGAGGAAATCGTACAACTCAATAATGAGAAGATGACCCAATTTAAAAATGGGCAAAAGACTTGTAAAAGCAGTTCTCCCAAGATATACAAATAGCCAAAAAGGAGATGAAAAGATGGTCAGCATCACTGATCAGAAGAGGAATGCAATTCAAAACCACAAATATATGCCAACCATCTCATGCCCTTTAGAAGGGCCATTATCAAAAGAACAGAAAATATCAAGTGTTGGCAAAGATACAGAGAAGTTGGGACCCTTGTATAATGTAGGTAGGAATATAAAATGGGGCAGCCATTACGGAAAATGTTTTCTCATACAGCACTTCTTAAAAATATTAAAAATAGCATTATATCTGATGCAACAATCCTACTTCAAAAGAATTCAAAGCAGCATCTCTGAGAGATATTTGCACAGCACTGTTCATCACAGCGTTCACAGAGGTAAGAGGTGGAAGGAAGGTAAATTTCCATCAACAGATGAATGGATACAAATGTTGCATGCACATATAGTGGAATTTTATGCAGCCTTTACAAAGAAGGAAATCCTGCCACATGCAGTTACCCTTGAGAACACTGTGCTAAGCAAAGTGAGCCCATTACAAAATGACAGGTATTAATGCAAAGTTTCTAAAGTAGTCAAAACCAAAGAAACAGAAAACAAAATGGTGGCTGCCAGGGCCTGGGTGGGCAGAGGGGAGTTGGTGCCTAGTGGGTGGTTTTAGTTTTACATGTGAAATGTGGGAGAGATGTGTTGCACAACAATGTGTGAATAGACTTGGCCCCACTGGCCTGTACAGTAGGAAATGGTTGAGGTAAATTTAATGTCAGGTGCTTTCTACCACAATAAAAAATAAAATTGTAGAGTAAATTTGAAAAAAAAGTTAATAGGCAAAGCATTCAAATAGACATTTCCTCAAAGGAGCTCTTTGAACGCCTGATAAACATGTGAAAAACTGCTCGATGTCCTTAGTCACTGTGGAAATGCGAAGTAAACCACATTGAGAAAACTGTTCATACCCCCCAGGATGGCTGTAATTAAAAAGAATAACAAGTGTTGATGAGGTTGTCAGTGAATTGATGCCTTTATACATTGCTGGTGAGAATGTAAAATGGCACAGCCACTTTGGAACCGGAGAGCTGTGACTTTTTTATTTTCAGTTTATATATGTTCTCTTTTCTTCAGTTATGAAATTTATTGCTTTGGGCTTGATAATTTCTAAGATCTTTTTACCTCCAAAAACAGTTCTGGAACCTTTCTTTCTAATAACTCTTTTCTTCTTAGATCATCAAGGCTAACTAATACAAGATAGCGTTCCCTTTCATTTGAAAACTAAGAAATACATATTTGATTGTATGCTATTGTTGGGGGAGTGTGTAATTTCCTCGGTTCTGTCTCGCAGCAGCAAAGATTTGAAACGGAAAAAAAAAAAGATTTGAAACGGTGGACCAGTGTTACAGCTTGGTTACAACTCAGTTTTATTTGGCAAACAAAGGATAGTACACCCTCAAGGTGTGAGGGCAGGCCACCCCCAAAGGAGAGGCCTTCCTCTTGGCTTCCTCCTTTTTTTTACCTCCTTTTGTCTCCTCCCCACTGAGCCTGCCCTATGCAAATTGGGCTAGCTAAGAAGGGAGCATGTTTGTTTCACCTAAAGTCTGCAGGTTTTCTTTTCTTCTGTTTTTGTGGGCTTTTCCTTTCTTTGTCTTTTAGCCACCACTGTTTTGTACTCCTTTTTCCTATTCTAACTCCTTAACATTCCCCCCTCAAGAGATGGGAGGCCCAATTCTTTGGGAATAGGGGCATCGAGGTTTCTCTGGCTACTTCCTGCTGAGCTGGGATGGTGAGGGGCATTGAGTCTCCCCCTCTTGGTAATCTAAGCCTCAGAGTGCTTATAGCGGTGTCCGTCTAAGAGTGAGTGATATTTTCCGTGGTCGGGTGTAGTTTTATATATCTTTGTTGGACTGGCACTGCATGTTGTAGCTTGTTGACCTGGGCAGAGACAAAACGGGTTAGACAATTGATAATACGTGGAGCAATCAAAAGCAGCATCAGTGTGGTGATAACAGGGATTAGTAGGGGCATTAGCCAACCAAATTCCCCCCTGCCAGGAGAAGGGTCCCCCAGAGGGAGATTGTAGCCACCCTGAGAACTCTCCAGCTCGTTCTTTGAGATATAGGATCTGAATATCTTTCTTGAGAACTGTGAAACTTTCTTCAACTTAGCTGGAGGTATTTACCCAGAAACAACATGCCTCATTCATAATGGCTCAAGTCCCTCCTTGCTCAGGGATCAGGCGATCTGTCTCCTATCTATTTGGAGTATAATTCCTGACAAGCTGTGTTGGCTCTTCAGAGCTATCCTGAGAAAGCTTATCCCCAGAAACTTAATTTGGGGGGTGTTCATTAGAATGGCACTCATTTGTAGTCCTGAATAGGTATCTGCCCACCCCAAAGGAGAGGTCCCAGTCTGTCTTGGCTTCCTCCTTTTATACATTTTGTCTCTTCCCCCCTGAGCCTGTCCTATGCAAATTGGGCTAGCCAGGAGGGCTGTTTGACCTGATGTTCTCACTCCAGTCTTTGGATTTTCTTTTGTTTCATTTTCATAGGCTTTTCCTTTCTTTGTCCTTCAGCCACCACCATTTTGGATTCCTTTTTCCTGTTTTAACTACCTAACACTTTGATTATAGACATCATTTTATTAAGGAATTGGTGGGTGGTCTCCTGAAGTGTAGTAATTTAGTTGCCCACAGGACAGAATCACTCATTTCTATTTTTCCATGTTACTGAGACATGTCCAATGTGGAATCCACAGAGAAGTACTTAGTTTATTCTTCAGTTATTTTAAAAAATTATTTACAAAGCCCAGTTCAGCATGCAATTTATATTTTGGCACATAGGTAACTATTTAAGATGGTGATCTCCTCCTCTACATGCTTCTGATTATTTCCAGGCTAAGGCAAGTATGTTTTCTTTGCCTACTGAGAAAGTGGATGAGAAAAATTCCGAATGAAGTGAACAATCCTGAACATTTATCACTATGGATGAATATGGAGGGCTTTCCCCTCTTTGGGTTAAAATGCACACTATATTGATTTGCCTAATTTTAATAATTTACTAATCAGGTTTGTAATTTTGGGTGATGATTATGATCATGTAACACCTAATGTAAGGTTAAAGAAGTTAGCATCAGGGACTTCCCTGGTGGTCCATGATTAAAGACTCTGAGCTTCCAAGGCACGGGGTGCAGGTTTGATCCCTGGTCAGGGAACTAAGATCCAACATGCCATGCAAAATAAAATAAAGACATCTCCCATTTTTTAAAAAAATCAGGACTGCAACCATGTAACTCATGCTGTTTTTATTTTAATAGTTACGAATTACTCTACACGTTTTACAAAAATTACTAATATTGCTACAGAAAGGTAGATTGACATCTGATGAACATTAACATAACTTTTGAATACATTCAGTAATAAAGTATTCTTTGTTGCGAACAACTTGCGCTGAGAATGGAGGAAACTCACTTTGTTAACATACCTAACGCGGTATCTGAACGTTGTTTTTTCTCGTAGGGCTCGCGCCATTCGCTTCAGACAGGATGGTAATGAAGCGGTTGGAGGGTTCTTCTCCCAGATTGGGCAGCTCTATATGGTGCACCATCTTTGGGGTATGTTTTTTTCCCTTTCATTTTTATGTTCCTGGGATTTCAGAATTCATTACTAAATAAGTTGTCCTAGCCTGTAAATCATACCTCCGGTCAGGAACCTGGGACACTGCAGCTGACCCAGATGTCCCAGATGGAAGGTAGGTGTTAGGCCCCCCAGCACAAAAGGTCCACAGTGAAGGGTCCCCAGACACGCAGCTCCTCGTGAGCTGGTGTGAGTGAGAGCAGGGCTGAGAGAGGTGCTGCAGGCCTTTCACAGGGCTTCCGAGCCTCCCTTTCTGAACATGCCCCAGCTCCCTCAGGGACAGTCCCACACTCCACACAGAAAGATGTCCTCCAAGAGGGCCCATGACTGCCTCGGGTCTGGATCTGTTGTCCTCTGAGGCGTCTTCTTGCACCTTTCCCGTCCCCGCCCCCTTTGGTTTGACACCTTCTTTGGTGCCTTTCTGGGCCTGACTCAGATGTTCCTCATCCGCCGGTGAATGTCACTGTCCCCAAGCTCCCAGAGCCTGCTACCACATGCGTGGTCATGGTCGTGACTGTGTGTGTCCGTCTCTCTTGCTGAGCAGGAAGCGGGTCACAGCGGCAGCTTGGCTTATTCTGGGCACATTTGTAAATAGTTATGTGTCACTCAGTCATGTCTGACTCTTTGCGACCCCATGGACTGTAGCCCACCAGGCTTCTCCATCCATGGAATTCTCTGGGCAAGAAATACTGGAGTGGGTAGCCATTCCCTTCTCCAGGGGACCTTCCCGACCCAGGGATCAAACCCAGGTCTCTGGCATTGGAGGCGGATCCTTTACCATCTGAGCTACCAGGGAACACTTGTAAATGGTTATCAACGTTACAAAGATGAAAAGCCTGACTCATTTCCAAACCCTAAACCATATTAATTTGCTGAGGTGTGGGTTTGCCTTCTCTGGTCCTGCCGAGTGCTGCAGGGGCGTGCGCCTGCTGGGGCAGCTGGAGGCTCAGGGACAAGGTGACGTCTGCCAAGCAGACCAGTTAAGTATAACTTAACCTTTACAGGCTTGAGGTAGGGATGAGGTCGTTTTTATTGTGATTTTTTAGTGTATCATCTGTCCAGAGGATTTAAACTGAAAAGACAGGCCCCTCCCCTTCCCCAGCCTGGAGGGGCCTCTGAGAGCGGCCTCTAGTGAGTGAGCATGGGGACCGGAGGGTCTGGACCCCATCCTCTGGCTCAGGCCAAGGTCAGACTCGTGTCTACTCTCAGGCAGCGCCCATCTCCACCTTCCTTTGTGTCTCCAGCCAGTGCCCCAAATGTCCACTGCCCACTTCCTACCTCATAGGAAAAAGTATTGAGATATGCAGAGATGTATGCTCAGTTGGCCACAACTTACCCTCACTTATCCATCTGTTTTAGAGAAAGAGAACCAACACTTACCAGGCACCTCCGTGTGTTGGTTATTTATGCACCATTCCCTTTAGCCCTGACAGCCACACACCAAAATGAGATACCATGACTCAGACGTGGTAAAGAAATCACCCCAGCCGCAGCTGTGGAGGAGCTGGGCCAGCCTCAGACGTCAGCCCATCTGGCTTCAAAGCAGGTCTTCCCCCGGCAGAGCTCCCCTTCCTGTTACCCTCGCACGTGATGCCGGCCTTCCACTCCCACCACCAGCACCCCTCCTCCCTCGAGGACTTGCTGCGGCCACAGCTGCTCCACCACCCCATCCGTGGGCTCCTTCCCTCAGTATACGAACAGTCTCAGTGCCTCCCATCTTTAAAAGCCTCCCCAAACCCAAAAGTCCATTAACAGATGAACAAAATGTGGTTTGTGCAAATTCATAGAAACTGAACGTAGAATGGAAGGTACCAGGGGTTGAGGGGAGAAGGGAAATGGGAAGAGATGGTTTATAATGGATAAAGTTTTAATTGAGGCTGATAAAAAAGTTTTGGACATGGATGATAATGGTAGTGGCACAATGTAATGTACTTATTGCCTCTGAATTATACATTTAAAAATAGTTACAATAGGGACTTCCCTGGCGGTCCAGTGATTAAGACTCTGCACTTCCACTGCAAAGGGAATGTGTTTGACCCCTGAACAGGGAACTAACATCCTGCGTGCCGCATGCTGTGGCAAAAAAAAAAATTTTTTTTTTAAAGAAAATAGTAAATTTTGTTATGTATATTTTATCCCCCCAAATTTGTTTTAACTAAGAAAATTTTTTAAAGAACACAGGCCTCTCCCACCTGTGTTCCTTCCAAGGGGGAGTCCCCACAGAGTGCACATGGGGTGCGCCTGACCCCGAGAAGAAGACTGCCACTTGTCACCTGGATCTTAGCCATTTTCACCCGGGTTGTGAGAGGTAGAGGATTTCCTTTTCCTTCTGTTCTTCAGTGTCTTCAAAATGTTATGTAATCAATTTACACTCCCTTACTAGTGGGGAACTTTGGGTCAAATACTCGGCCTGCAAGGTTAGGTCTTCTCACAGGGAGAAGGAAGACCCAAAACAGGACTAGAACTGAGTGGGGAGCCCTCCCTGCTCAGGGGTTGGAAGGATCTTGCCGGGCCGGGAAGCAGAAACCAAAGCACCCAGTGGGGTATCTGAATTGTACCCCGAGGACCCTGACCCTCAGCCCATGCCCTTCCCTCCACTGGAGGGCTTTTCTCTCCGGTTCCTGCATGTGGTCAATGAAATGTCGGTTTCAACCTGGAAGCCCCACTTGGTCACATCGTACCTTCCGGGGAGCTTTCCCTGGTCAGCTGTGTTTACCCTGTGGAGTCGCCTTGTTCTCCACTATTGTGAACACGGTCTCCCAGATCATTGCAGGGCCTTATAAATACTGCATAAAATTGAATTTCCTATTGCTTATCTGTGGCCTGACAGTTTCTGGTTATGGATTTAACAAATTAATGAGGAAGTTCACTTGGTTGGTAAAGGCACATCTTGAATCCACTAGACTGTAAGCCTTGAGAGCAGATTGTTTTGCCTCTCCCACATGGCCTGACAATTCTACTCAGAATAACCAGCTCACAGCCCAGCTTAGTACTAAGTTCATGGAATATAGATGGTCCCTGACTTACGATGGTTCAACTTAAAATTGTTCAACTTTATGACAGTGCAAAAGTGATCCACGTTCAGTAGAAACTTTGAGTGTGAATTGTGCTTTTCCCTCAGGCTTTTGGTACACTCGCTCATGATGCTGGGCGGTGGCAGCGGTCAGCTGCGCAGTCACAAGGGTGACTAGCCAGTACACTCACAATGATTGTGGTTTTCGCTTTTTGTGCAGTATTCAGTTATGTGAGATACTAAACACTTGATATGAAATATACTTGGCATCAGATGATTTTGCCCAGCTGTAGGGTAACATGAGTGTTCTGAGAACATTTAAGGTAGGGAAGGACTTCCCTGTAGTTCAAACGGAAGGAATCTTCCGGCAATACAAGAGACCAGGGTTTGATCCCTGGGTCAGGAACATCCTCTGGAAAAGGGAATGGCAATCACTCCAGTATTCTTGCCTGGAGAATCCCATGGACAAACAAGCCTGGCGGGCTACAGTCCATGGGGTCACAAAGAGTCGGACACGATTGAATGACTAACACATAACATACACAAGGTAAGGGAGACTCAGCTGGGATGTTCTAGTGGATTAGATGTATTGAATGCATTTTCGATTTACAATATTTTTAGCTTACGATGGGTTTATTGGGACGTAACCTCATCATAGGTTGAGGAAGATGTAGGCTGTTTGAGAAAACAAGATGAGCAGCTGAATCAGCACTTACTGGACATCCAGTTGACCCTTGAACAACACAGGTTTCGACCACATGGATCTTTTTCAGTTGATATGCACAGTCCTATGCAACCCACAGCTGGTTAAATCCGAGGGTGCAGAGCCATGGATACATAGGGCCAGCAGTGGGACTTGAGCACCTGCAGGTTTTGGTGTTCATGGCGGGTCCTGGAGTCATTCCCCCACTGTACGAGTGGAATGTAGGGCATTATGTTTGGTTAATTCTTCTGTGTGGCTGTTTTTAAGCTTACAAGGATCTTCAGACCAGGGAAGATATACGGAATGCAGCATGGCATAAACATGGCTGGGAAGAACTAGTATATTATACAGGTAATATCTTAATAGGCATAAAGCATTTCATTCTTCTCATCTCCTTGTTTTAATGTTCTTTCACCCTGAAGCTCATGGTGTATTTGAAAAAAAATAATGTGTTGCTGTCAGATGATGAATTGTAAGGTTGAGGGAATAGAAAATAGTCATATTTTTCTTTGATAGTTACATGACTTTTTAAATAGAGAGTATTCATTCTTTCAAGTATACATGTTGTCTAGTACAGTTTTCAGATCTTTGTGTGTTGTAAATTTTACGTCATTACACTTTTTTGGTACATTTCTGTATTCTCTGAAAATTTATCATACCAATAAATTTTTCCTAAGCTTTCTCATCAAAACTGTTTATTCCCTAAAGCATTACAATTTAATACAGCAATTAAAAAGTAATTTTGAAAATTATTTTGATATTTAAACTTTCCATATGTACGTGTGTATGCCTGTGTACATACATGTAAGCCTATACATCTGTGTATACTCATATGTGTAAATATAATACATACACTATGAAATCCTAGTTGCTTGATTTTTAGAAGAAAACAGCCAGACTGAATGCCACCCAGTGACACCAATGCAGGTAATAAGTACACCCATGATGCACATCAGGTGCACTTAAGCCTGTACCCTACCAGGAAGACCAAAGAGTAGTTTGTTCTGGAAAATAATGATTATCTTGTCTGTTCACATATCATAAGTCCTCCAACTGTGTGTGGCTTTGCTGCTTATTCTTACACTTTCATCGGGTCCCAAAGACATGTTTCCTCAGCACTGACAGCGTTACAGGCACAGTGTATTGTTGCTATATATAGGATACAGATTATTTGATTCTATATACATTTTAATTCAGTTCAAAGAGCCTTTTAAGAAAGCACCATTTTACTCACAATATAGACTTTCCTGATTTCCAACACATGAAATACATCTCCTGACAGAATATTTTAATGACACATTACAGGATGTCAGCTGATCTGTCATTAGCTTGTATATTTCTGCCCGAGACCAGTCCTAAGTATTCCAGTACTCTGATTTCAGGCAGCATGTCTTCTGAATGAATATCCTTGCAGCCTACTTGTTAGTGTGTATTTATTGCCATCTGTTTAGAAAACAGTGAGCCCCAGTGATTATGGCCCTTGTTTTCAGTCCCACTTATTCAGGAAATGGAATCCAGAATCATGATCCCACAGAAGACCTCGCCCCTCCAGTGAAGCGACAGACTGGAGATGTGCCTACAGAAGTTTAGGTGACATGTGCTTGTCATCAGTCAACTTGAACTGTGTTACAGTGAGAGAGAAACACTGAAGTGTCAACTGCTGTATATAGCTTGTAAAAGACCTCTTTTCTTTAAAATTTATGCAATCACAGGACAGGAAACTGTTACAGTTCAGCTGATTGTAAAAGTGCGCTGTAGTCCTCTGAAATATCCCTAGGTTTGTCGAATGTACCGTATAATATTAACACCAAGCCACCTCTCCCCACCCCCCCCCCCCCAGGAAAAGAGAGCCCAGTTGAAAATTGGAGTCATCTCCAAGTAAGAATCTAACCATGGGGAAAAAAAGTTAGCCATTTCTTTATAAAGAGCAAATCTGTTTTATAATTACAGATTTTTTAGACAGATTTCTTGTATCAGGAAGAAATATAAATTTCATCATGTTTCTGTAGCATTTTTTTCTGAGTTTCAGACTAACAAATTATAAGTGTACTCAATACCTGGAAATGTTTTGCTTCATTCTCATTTTTAATGTCAGCATAGTAAACTGTCATTACTGAGGGGGAAGTGGTTGATCAGTAATTCAGTCTCCACTTTATATATTGTGATGTCTTTATACACGAGGAAAAGATGGCTTGAACCTGTGTATCATATGTGACTTTGAAATGAACACCTTGAATAGCACTAATTTTTATTTGTAATATTTTTCTACAACAAAACGAGTAGCACTAGGAAAAGAGGTTTTATTTTGTAAACAGTCATCTGTGACCTGCATTTTAGTAAGCTCACAGCAGATTCTTCCAAGATCATGAATGGGGGGAGGGAGGTGTGCATGTTGAGATTTAAATTGACATAAAACTGCATACTTTGTCTAGCTCTGATTTCGTTTTTTAATAGTGCCAATTTTGTGACTGTAATCATGTGAAAGTCCTGTTGAAATGAAAAATTATGTCTGACCCCCAGATCAAAGAATTTATGTTAAAGTGTGAATAAATCTCATATCAAATGTCAAGCTTTTACATGTGAATGGTTTTCTCCAAGAACATATAAAAATTAATAAAAATCCTCTTAATTTTAACATATTACATGTATGTGATCTTTTTTAATGAACTGATGCTGAGAGTGAGCCCATCACTCTTGAAAGATGGCTTGTCCCAGTTCAGCGAGCATGTGTGAGTCTACAGAATAAAATAAGCTCATCAGCTGGTTCTTATGGCCACATGGTAGGTGTTATGGGGAGTGGGTGTCTATATACCAGCACATAATGGTCTGGTGTTTGGGAGCTGGGGCTGCTGATGGAAGATCAGGCTCTGCTCGTTGATGGGGTCCCTGCCCTCTTTGGTGTTGGGTCCTTAGCCTATAAAATGTGGAGGTTGAATTCAATAGCGTCTAAGGTCCCTTCAGCTCTGAATTTCTGTAACTGGCTCTTCTTGCTGGCACAGGGAACAGTTGAGGAAAGTGGGTGTAGTGAACTCTGCCATGGCAAACCTGCAGTTCAGCAGCAGCTACTCTACTGATTAGATGCTCAGAGTGTGTTTGCAGGTTGTGAATGAAAGAATCATTGATTTAGAAAGTACTTTCTAAACTACTTAATGAAAACTGGTAGAATGACTATTACTAGTAAAGGTAATCTAGCTATTCAGAACTGAAAAAAAAAAAAAAGTTGCTCTGGACAGAGGGAATTTTCACTTACAAAATTATGTGGACTTGTAAATGAAACAAACCCTGTAGAAGTTAAGAATCTCCTGTCATGCACTGTTAGAGTTCTCCAGAGAAACAGAGCCAATAGGCTATCTAGATATAGATGTATTTGGGGGAGAGAAGGATGGGGAGTTTGGAATTAGTAGATGCAAACTATTATGTATAGGATGGACAAATATCAAGGTCTTACTGTATAGCACAGGGAACTATATTCAATGTCCTGTGACAAACCATAATGGAAACGAATATGAAAAAGAATGTGTGTGTGTGTGTGTGTATAACTGAGTCACTTTGCTATACAGCAGAAATTAACATTCTAAATCAACTGTACTTCAATAAAAATTGTTTTGAAAGATGTATTTAAGAGGAGACTTATTATAGGAATTGGCTTGTGCCATTATGGAAATCAAGAAGTTCCATAGTTTGCCGTCTGCCAGCTGGCAAACCAAGAGCCCCAGTGGTAGGATTCTGTCCAAGTCCAAAGGCCTGAGAATCAGGGGGAGCAGATGATGTAAGTCCCAGTCCGAGGTCAAAGGCCCAAGAACCAGAAGCTCTAGTATCAGAGCAGAAGGTGGGAATTCAGCTCACAAAGAGAGTGAATTCGCCCTCCTTTCACCTTTTTGTTCCATTTGGGCCCCCAATGGATGGGGTGATATCCACCCACACTGGGGAGGGCAGTGGGATCTCCTGCTAATCCCTTCCAAGAAAACCCTGACAGACACACCTAGAAATAAAGTTTTACCACTTGTCTGGGCATCCCTTAGGCCAGACAAGTTGGTACTTAAAACTAACTGGGCTTGAGAGCCTCCCTAAACTGCCTCATCTACCTGACTGCTCGTCCATGGGCCATTCTTAGTGAGGACCTGGATGTCTAGGTGCTAAATATCAATAGACTATGAAAAAATGATCTTTTAGAAATAGTTTGCTATCTTTTTGTTTTGCTTTCTTAAACAACCTTTCTGTTCAAAAAAGCACAGAGCAATAAAGCAAGTCTAAAATGGAATTCTGTCAGAGTACACCCTCCGCTAGAGTCTGGAGCGATTTCTGTTCTAATTAAGTCATTAGGTTTCACAACTTGAGGCAGTAAAAACTGGGTTTTGCCCTTCATTCAATTCAACAAACATTGAGCTGCTATTATGTGCCCAACACCAGGCACTTGGAATAACATAAATCATGATCCCTGTCCTTGTGAAGCTTGCAGTCCAGTGAAAGGAGACTGGCAATTAAATACAAAACTTTGTAAGCTACATGCTATGGCAGAAGTTGATAAATGCCATAGCGGAAGAAGGTAACGGGGATCACAAATCTGGGGCTGGGCTGGGAGGGGCAGTACGTAATATTAAAAATGTTTAGTCTGAGTTGGCCTCACTGAAAAGCTGAGATTTAAGCTTAAACTTGAAGGAGGTGAGGAAGTTAGCCAGTGTTTGGGGAGAAATCCCTTCCTGCTGAGGAGATGGCTACAGCATAGGCCCTGAGGCAGGCTCCGGCCTGGTGTGCGGGGAGACCGCTGCGGCTGGTGGAAGAAGAGGTCACGAACCTGGATCCATAGGGGGTTGGAGGCCATTGGAAGGACTTTTACTCTGAGACAGGATCCACTGGAAGGTTCTGAGCAGAGGAAGGGCATATGGTCTGACTTGACATTGTAAGTGGTGGCCCAGACTAGCAGTAGCAGTGGAAGTAGGGAGAATGGTCAGATTCTAAATATACTCTGACAGCACAGCCAAGATGATTTGGTCAACAACTGATTTTGGAACGTGGATGAGAAGGAAAAAAATTTTAATGACTTAATTTGGCCTTGGCAACTGAAAGGATGGGGAAGGCTGAAGGCGGAAAAGATCTGAGGTGTGAAGAACAGGAATTTTGCTTTGTTTGAGTCTGAGAAGTCTATGCAGACACCCAGGTGGAGGTGTCAGGTAGGCAGTTGGGTATATGAGTCTCAAATGCGGGACACACCTGGCCTGGAGTTAGAACTGTCAGCATATAGAACTGAAAGCCAATGGAGAAGCCTTCCCTGGTGGTCCAGTTGTTGAGAATCAGCCTTCCAAGGCAGGGGGCATGGGTTCAGTTCCTGGTCGGGGAAGCTTCCACATGCTGCGGAGCAACTGAGTCTGTGCAATACAATTACTGAAGCCTGTGTGCCTAGAGCCTGTGCTCCGCAAGAAGAGCCACGGCAATGAGAAGCCTGAGGACTGCAGCTGGAGAGTGGCCCCTGCTCGCAACTAAAGAAAGCCTGCGTGTGTAGCAATAAAGACACAGTGCAGCCAAATATATATATATTTTTTTTTTTAAATCAACAAGGAGTGAGTATAGACAGAGAAGAGGACCAAGGCGAAGACAAACCAGGAAGGGAGAGTGAGAAACCACCAAGGAAACAGGAAGAAACTCAAGGCAGTGGGATTTCATGAAAGACAAGTGAAGAAGGTCCATCAAGGATGAGATTACCAGTGTCAAACACTAGTGCAAGGCTGGGTTGAATGAAGGCTGAAAACAGATCATTAACTTAGTAACATGGTGGTCACTTGATGACCTTTGACAGGAGTGGTCCATAAATAAGCCAATTTATCAAATTAACACTTTATTTTAGCAATTCCTACTCAATTTGTCAAATTCTTTTATTAAACCCCTGGAGTAGAACAAATCTTATTAATTTGTCCAACTACTAATTTTCCCTGGCAATATTCAAAACTTCCAAACTCATCTTCCACTCACTGGGTATAAGCCTGGTGATTATTATTTATACAAGCCAATTTATTTTTAATTATAGTTCATGTGACATCATCCCTACTATTTTTTACAAGCACTCTTGGAACCTCACTTTGCTCTTCTCCCAACTCGGACTTGATAGAATTTGCCTCTTTTCCCTTATCCTCACAACTACCTGTGAAAGATTCTTTTTCTTCAATTCTACTTTAAACTTTCATATTTTTTGTTAAATTGATACTTTCAGTTTCTGGCTGAGACATAGTAGATGTTCAATAAGATGCTTGATGAGTCAATAGAAGAAACAGGGAGAAAGGGAAGGAAGGGAAAAGGAAAGAAAAGTGACTCAGTTCTAACTGGAAAATACACAGAGCTCTCAGAAAGAAGGGCGGTGACTTTATTCCTATATTTCATGTTCTATAAATCCTTAGAAATATGATCTGCCTAGACAAGCTCCATAAAAACAATGTATTGATTAAAGGGAGACAATAAACATCTATAGGAACTTCCCTAGTGGTCCAGTGGTTAAGACTCCATGCTTCCAATGCAGGAGGCGAGGCTCTAATCCCTGGTCAGGGAACTAAGATCCCCTACATGCCTCACGGCATGGCCAAAAATATACATATATATATATTCATATGTATATATATACACACATATATGTATGTTCTGAGCTGGAAACTGTGGTCAAACTAGTACTAAAACTAGTACTTTTTCCAGAGTTCAGTAACCATTAAAAATGAAACCACTTTCCTGGTGATACAGTGGTTAAGAATCCAACTGCCAAAGCAAGGGACACAGGTTTGATCCCTGGTCCAGTAAGATTCCACATGCCACAGAGCAACTAAGCCCGTGGGCCACAACTACTGAGCCTGCACACGGCAGCTACTGAAGCCGGTGTGCTCTAAGGCAGCACACTGCAACGAGAAGCCTCCACAATGAGAAGCCCACGCCCGGCAGTGAAGAGCAGTCCCCACTCGCCGCCAACTAGAGAAAGCCCTCACACAGCAGCGAAGACCCAGTTCAACCACAATTTTTTAAAAAAAGAAAGAAACCACTTGAATTTTTTGCAAAACGGTCCTCAATCCTAAGAGGTAAAATTTCATCTGTGTATTATGTCAACACCTGTGATCACAGCTGAGGGTGGACTGTCTCGGCCCCAGTAAATAGTTAACGCTCTAGTCATGCATAAGATAAAGGATGCTGTGCAAATCGCTGGCCTGGTTTCCAGCTCTGAATGAGAGCTCGTAGTAGTCACTAACTTGTGAGCTTGTTTCCTATCTGTCCAAAATAGGACAGCGACCTCTATACTGCTGACCTCAGGGTTGTGAGAATCACAGGAGGAAACAGTTGAACACATCTTGGAAAATGTGAAAATAAGCAGTGTGAATGGGACTTCCCTGGCGGGCCAGTGGTTAAGACTCTGCATTCCAGTGCAGAGGGTACAGGTTTGATCCCTGGTCGAGGAGTTGATTCCACATGTCTCAAGGCCAAAACACCCAAAACATAAAACAGAAGCACTGTGGTAACAAATTCAATAAAGACTCTCAAAATAGTCCACGTCAAAAAAAAATCTTAAAAAAAAAAGCAGTGTGACTTGTGACTAGATGACTCTCCAAATTTGCTGAACCTGGTCATAAAGACTCTGAGGGTCACAGAAGCAAGAGCCACCACGCTATGCCATCACGACTGAGGCCGACCACTTCCATCTCTGGCATCTCCTGCTCCACTCCTGCCCCAGGTCTAGAGCGCTGTGCCCTGCTCTGGGAGTGGCAGACAAGAGGGCCTCCCTAGATGTTGTGAAGAAACACTTGTCTCCACTGAGAGAGAAAGTTGTTCAGTTGCTCAGTCACGTCTATCTCTGCGATCACAGACTGCAGCAAACCAGGTTTCCCTGTCCTCCACTATATCCCGGAGTCTGCTCAAATTCCTGTCCATTGAGTTAGTGATACCATCCAACCATCTCATCCTCTTTTGCCTCGTTCTCTCTTGCCTCCAATCTTTCCCAGCCTCAAGGTCTTTTCTAAAGAGTCGGCTCTTCACATCAGATGGCCAAAGTATTGGAGCTTCCACCTCAGCATCAGTCCTTCCAATGAATATTCAGGATTGATTTCCTTTAGGATTGACTGGTTTGAACCCAATTCTCAATGTCAGTCTGTTTACAGAAGTAAATGCTCATGATCAGAATGAAAAATGACAGATGTCACAAGGATAGGAAACCATATAACACTGTCACCGCCTTCTGAGCCCTGTCCGGGTGCCACTGTGTACAGAACTCCTGGAAGAGCTTTTCTGTGGCTGTTTCCAGTGAGTCCGGAATGAGAAAATCATGGAAGAGGTTAGCACAGTTGTTAGGACGTGTCAGACTCACTCCCGACACAACAAAGACAGGACTGTGCCTGCTGCTTCTGGGCAGCCTGTGAGAGCTGGGCATCCTGGGGGCGGGAGGAGGGGCCGTGTGATTGGTGTAAGAGGTTCTCTGTGGGTCTCACGCTTCCTCGGCAGATCAGATACCCCTGGAGCCACATTCAGCATGCACCTCCTGTTCAGGCCGCTCCCCAGTGGAGGGCAAGCTCTCAGGCCTGGTGGTCAGAAATGGAGGGCGGGGGGTTGGGCGGAAGCCCTGTCCTCCACCCGTCTGCCCGGCTTGCTCCAGCTCCTACACACACAGGGTGGTGGCCAAGCCTGAGGCGGTTTGCGGAGCTCTCCTCAGCCCGGCCTGCTTGGTCCTGCCCACTTTGCGGCACTAAAGCTGCGAAACAGCGCTGAGGAGAGCTGCCAGCGAGAGCTCACAATGGTGAAACAGCCGCCCTCTTGTCTGCGGTCTCATTTAAATGTTGCCAAACCTATGCCATAAGCTCTCCTCCAGAAACTTTGATTTGGAAGGAGGTTGTTTCATCTGATTTGATTATTTGGCTAAATAATGATCTGATTATTTGACCAAAGTTGATTATTTGGTTAAATTATAAATTTTTCAAATCTCTTCTGATGTTAAACCCTTCTGGCCTCTGCTACTTAAATTATCCAACAGTATCCACTCGAGGCCTGCCTCTTCCTAAACCTGTGTGTCTTTGTCTTCCCCCAGTTTCCCACCAGGGAGTGTATAAAATCTCAAATTTTCAAACCAGCAAGAGTATAAAATCTCAGATTTTTTCAAAGCATGTTCTGAAATGTCCCTTTTAAGGCCGCTGCTCAGAATAACCATGAACCTGGCCTTTCGGATCCTCCCAAACCATTTGTGAAATAGTTCAGAAATAGTTCAGGGGCTTCCCTGGTAGGCCAGTGGCTAAGACTCCTCACTCTCAAAGCAGGGGACCTGGGTTCAGTCCCTGATCAGGGAACTAGATCCCACATGTCACGATGAACAGTTCAAAGGTCCCGACTAGAAGATCCTGAGTGCCAAAACAAAGACCTGGCACAGCCAAATAAATCAGCATTTCAGAAAAAAGAAAGAAATGGTTCGTATAAGTTCTGATGAGTTATTTCTTAATTCTTTTAAGGGAAAATGCTGATCTTTATTTGAGATTAATAAAATGTTTTCAGTTCTTTTTGGTTTTAGTTCTTTTAATTCATGTCATTATCAAATATCCATTTTAAAAAATTGGAGTGTAATTGCTTTACAATGTTGTGTTAGTTTCTGTTGTATAACGATGTGAATCAGCTATGTTCGGGTACATCAGTATATGTACAACCTCTCCCTCTTGAGCTTCCCTTCCACCCCTCTATGTCATCACAGACACCGGGCTGAGCTCAAATACCTATCTTTTAAGGTCAGTACTTTTAAGGCTCCACTGTTACCTTTTTTAAAAAAGCCTTTGTAACATTTCCTGCCTGACAAATACCAGGAGGGAAGAAAAGAGCTTCCACCCCTCACACTCAACACCGCCCCCCAGTGGTGGGGCTGATGGTGGCTGTGCTGTGACCAGCACTCTGCTCTGGGCTCAGCAGGATCTCCACCCCTTGGTTCCTGGCCTGGAGGCTGCTTCTACTCATATACTTAGAGTATCTGAAATATTGGATACTGAAATACATGATAGGCAGAATTGGAACTTCAACAAATCAGAAATTCCCTGGCAGTCCAGTGGTTAGGAGTCTGAGCTTTCACGGCCAAGGGCCTCGGTTCAATCCCTAGTCAGGGAACTGAGGTCCCACAAGCCAAGTGGTGTGGCTCAAAAAGAAAACAAACTACAAATCTGTTTTGATATATGCATAAATTTTTATTTGTATATAAAGGGAAAACCAATTTCATTTAAAGCTGCCTAATCCACATTCCCAATAGTGAAGGTGTTTAATTTACCATCCACCTTCCAAAGCCTTCAAATCAAACATAGCTAGAATTGACTGATAAAGAATTGATAGATTGATAAAGAATTCAGATTATAAAACTCTCCAGGCAATTCAATGGTCAAAATAATACTGGAACTACAGTTTAAAAAAACAAACCACAATGTTCTATGAGCCCTAACTATCGTTTACTTGGAGGTACAGATAATCAATACAAAATTCATAGACTGGGTTGTAATCAGCAATTGGAAGCAAACAGTATCAAACTGCATAATTTTTTAAAATTAACCTGAAGTTATGAACTTTATAAAAATGGATCTTATTCTTCCAGTGCTCCCAGAAGCTCTATAAAATCAGTGATGTACCATTCCGCGTTATCCTTTACTTGCTGCCTGATCACATTTCCTCCAAATCCAATGAAAGCATCCTAAGAAGAGAAAGAAAGGGAAATAGTTGAAAAGGAGAGAGAGAAAAAGAGACAGCAGCAGCCTAGGGAAATAAGTATTATTGAAAAGAAGAAATTCTGTACAAAGACAGGTGAGCCCAGCATCACCTGGGATGCCTCCCTCCCCAGCTCCCTGTGAGCCTGCTCATCACCTCCTCCCCTCCTCCTGCCACTCGAATAAATGAGTCTGACCACCACTGCAGCAGAAGCACTCAGCTGGACACTGTGGGCTTCAGAAGAACTGAAATCCCTGTAAAATCAAGACAACTGCTTACAAAAATAAAACCTGGGACTTCCCTTGGTGGTCCAGGGGTTAGACTTCTTGCTTCCAATGCAAGGGGCCCAGATTCAATTCCTGGTCAGGGAACTAGATCCTGCACACCACATCTAAGACCCTGCACAGCCAAATAAATATATATTTTTTAAAAAATAGGGAATTCCCTGGTAGTCCAGTGGCTAAGACTCCATGCTCCCAATGCAGAAGGGCCTGCTTTCAATCCCTGGTCAGAGAACTAGATCCCACTTGCTACAACTAAAAATCCCAAGTGCCACAACAGAGCCTCAAGACAGCCAAATAAATATTAAAAAATAAGTAAATAAAACCACACCAGGTGGTAAACATCTGAGTTCTAAACTGGGTGGCAATCACATCCGGGCCAATTTCAAAGAAAGAAGACTGAAGAGAAGCCTGTTGGGCTGGGGAAATGCCCGAGGCATGGAATCAGGGCCATGTTAGAATACCTCCCAGCTGGTGTCCTGGGTGAACCTGAGGGACCCACCCCGCTGCCCACAGGGAGGCCTGTTATTCTGGGCTGAAGGAGGTAACAACCCCCAAGTATGTTAGCAGCATTCTATTTTTCACTGGTAGAATAACTTAAAGGCACATTGTTTCCTTCATTTATTCTCAGTGATACCTTCTTTTAGTCAATGATTTTTGAAAATTTTTTTGGCTGCACCTTCACAGCATGTGGAATCTTAGTTCCCTGACCAGGGATCAAACCCACACCCGTGCACTGGAAAGTGGAGTCTTAACCACTGGACCACCAGGGAAGCCTCATTGTTGTTAGTCACTAAGTTGTGTCCAAATCTTTTGCAACCCCATGGACTGTAGCCCACCAGGCTCCTCTGTCCATGAGATTTCCCAGGCAAGAATACTGGAATGGGTTGCCATGCCCTTCTCCAAGGGAAATCCCATAGTCAGTGGTCTTTTTAAGTGGTATTTTCTCTTTTTTCTGCCAGGACACAGACACAATATACACTGATTTAGAGGTACAAATTTATCTTACTTGCCCTTTCTCTTCATTTTTATTTTCATACCATACAATGGGGGGAAAATAAGTAGATTCTTACATTTAGTTAAATTGAGCCTCTTGAACTCCTGCCTCTGCGGCAGCCCTCTGTCGGCCAGCAACCAGTTCTGCTGTCCTAACACCCTGACTGGCTCCTTCTTGGTCTAGAGGCTTCCAGGACTTCCCATGACCCAAAGGTAACACCAGAGAGCCTAGTACGTGGGGTCTTCTTCTCTTGCTGAAGAGAAAGCCCACTCCCACACTTCCCTGCCCACTGACCAGCCTAAGACTGTACCTAGTACATTAGGACTCTGCTCTGCTTCTTCCCTTCCCTCTAGAGGCCCTCCCCGCCAAGTTCTGCCTGGCTCCCACATGGCGACTGCTACCTGTCCTTTAGGGCAGGGCTCCCCACTCCCGGGACACTTGGTACTGCACCCAGGAGAAGGTGAGCAGCAGGAGAGTGACAGAAGCTTCACCTGTATTTACAAACCGCTCCTCATCGCTTGCACTCCTCCTGAGCTCCACTTTCTGTCAGGTCAGTGGCGGCATTAATAAATGCAAAGCCCTTGAATCATCCAGAAACCATTCTCCACCCCTCAACCCCCAGTCCGTGGAAAAATTGTCTTCCACGAAACTGGCCCCTGGTGCCACAAAGATTGGGGAACCCCTTCATTAGGGAGCAGATTCCTTGGACCACCTTCCAGGGCTACAGACCTGCACACACACCACCTTCTTTTGGTTCAGTCGGGCTGTGTCACCTTCTGACCGATAGGATCTTCTGTAATTTGTAATTTTGTCCTTCTTGGATACTGGGATTCAGGGCCCCCTGAGAGAACCCTGCATTACGCCTTGTACTCTGATATCCACTAGCCTGGCTTTCAGTACTTAGTCGACCCTGACATTGGCTGTAAATCATTTAAGAACGCATTATTTCAAACTGACTCAAGTAATGTTAAAAGGATCCCCAAAAATTCTTTGACCGCTTTTGATTAATCATTGACAGACAGATGTTATTTTTAGATGTGAGGAAACTAGGTAGTGAAACGTTCACCGTTATATTTTTGGTTCAGTTTTTTTAAGGTAGAACAAAAAGTTAGAGTCAGTCCTATGTGAAATGGACATGTGATATTTAAGGTATTGGCGACAGTCCATGGGGTCCCAAAGAGTCGGACACAGCTGAGCGACTGAACACACGCACACACACATGTACATAGAACACTTGTTTCCTGCTAGTCTCAGAAAGCAATGTAAATGCAGAAGAAGAATAAAATGCTTTAATATGGGCATGGTATCGAATCTCCCATGACCCTCAGTTACCCCATCAGTAAAAAGGAAAAGATGATACTTTTTTACTTCACAGGGCTGTTATGAAGATTAAATGAGATAATGTATGAGGAAATAGTTTCTCAAATATAAAACACTGAAATTCTGGCTGTAGTGTAAGAGCTGTGTTCATTGTGGAAATGAAGCCAAACCTCACTGAGCACATACTTGGGCTAAGAGGCAGCAGCCATACTGCAGGGAAGTTTTAAATGGGGTTTAAGTTCCTTATTTGCAACCTTCCCTGGGTTTGCAAAAAGTCAATTATTATATTGAGACTAAATATGTTTTGTTTATTTTGGTTTTTAGTTTTACAGTGATACAGGTTTTTGTTTCATTCTCACAAACTGCTAAAAAAATTAGTATGCTTAATACATACAGCAGGAGGACAGGCTTCCATGTCTGTGGCTCCATCTCCAACCATGATGATCTTCTTGAAATGAAATTTTTCCTTTAAAAATTTAATAACTTTTCCTTTCCCACCAGATTCAGCTGTTGGTTGCGTCTCATCAAAACCTGCATATTCACCTATAAAACGGATCCACAGAATTAGATCAGTAGGGCCACTTTTTTGCATAGATGATATCCTCATTTACATACCACTGGCAAAGCTAAAAGTGGCCTTTGATAAAATAACACAGCCTGGACTTTCACACATTTCTCAAAATGAACAAGCTATGATTTTAAATTACAAACTTCTTGTCAAGGTTATTCCTTTAGGTGATAAACATTTCACGGTTAACTGGTTTTATCTTCTAAGCTTCCAATATAGCAAATCTCAAAACTTATTGAAATGGCAGAACACCATGAAACAGTAATATATTAATTTAAAACATGTTGTTATATAATTTCTTCTAAGAGGAGATTCTAATTTACATTTGATGGATTATTTCCAACTTCCAGTAATTACTACACTTATTCTCTACTCTTTTTAAAATTATTTCTATCTTATAAACTCTTCAAAAGTGTTCTAGTAACACATTTAAATGTTTTAAACTAATACCATTTGGCTTTAAGAATGCCAGCCACCCCCTGACATAACCGGAGACATCTTAAGATGACGAGAAGATTACAGTGGGGGCTCTGTGACGGTCCAGAGAGGGGCCAGGAGGCGCCTCCAAAGGCAGCTACAGTGCAGTGACTTGCTCACAAATTAACTCTCCTTCCTGAGTCAAACACATGAGCCAAATTGGCTCTAATACATGAGAGCTTTCATAAAACTGAAATATACTGAATAACAAAATAAGTCATATGGGTTACATGACATTATTTACTAAAATGCAGACATGTATATACAGATAGATGATTTTATGGATAGTGAAGGTAGGAGAGATGATGCCCTAAGTGTACCTTGCAGAGCAAAGGATACCAAGGTGTGAAAGACATCAGTAAAGAGAACCCTCTATCTCAGCATTTAACTCTGACGCCACCTTGCTGAAGCTGCGTTCCAACACACATTAAATACTAAAACTGATTAGAGGGGAAAATGTGACCATGAAAGTTTTACCGTTAAAGTAGAACTTTAGCCTATTGGCAAATACATTGGTTGATGGAATGTTGAGCTTTGAAGCAACATGTTCCACAATGCTCCTAAAGCCACCAGATATCAGGAAAACCTGAACATTTCGTTCTTGTAGGCGACTTACTAGCTCCCTGTAAAAAAAAAAGGAAACTGCAAATACCAAATGCTGATCAATACAAAAGTGAAAACAGGAAATGTGGAAAGGAAACTCAAATATATATTTTCTCCTAATGCATCTGTCCAAGGTACACCAGACAAGGTATATCACCTAGTGAATTAATGTTCCATATATGTTTTTCTAAATGCACTTAGAAATTAGTGGGTGGGGCTTGACTGCTTTAGGAAACCATTCCGCAACTCTGTTCTGCCCATGGACCTAGAAATACAAGACGAAGAGGAGATTTTGGCTCTCTGCTGGGAGAGAGGGAAGGCAGACATGGGCAAGACCAACCACCCAGACAAGACCACTCACAAGTACCAAAAGAACCACACAGAAGCTCTACAGTAACAAAGGACATGCCCCCAAAAGCAGGTGCTAATAGAGAGACAGTGTACCCAGACTGGGCATCCCTTACCTTATGCCGGGGGTCAGGTGCGGGGGGTGCTCTGCTAGGAGCCTCTGCACCTGTTCCCTGGAGGGCTGGATCAGAGCTAAGCGCTCTGTGAGGGCAGCCTTGAAAGGCACTGCCCCGCCCATGGCTCGCCGTGTCCTAGGAGGAGGAACATCCAACAATCAAGCCAGCCAAGTCAGCTGTCATCAAAGTTTACATGCCCACCCTCCCCAACTCCTCACAAGGTCTATCCACGAGGAAGGTGCCCCACCATACAACAGACGTGCTATGTTGCCATGGGAGTGAGTGGGGCCAGGGATAAACTATGGAGGGTTTGCTTGAGAATCACATTAATATTCTGCATCCACAAATACACCATCCAGTGAGCTGAGAAAAATGCATGTACTATCCACAGGTACTTTCCTTAGAAACCATGAGCACTTGTAAACCAAGAAAGAGACTAAAGGCCAGTACTCTTTACACACACACACACACACACACACACAGATATAATTTAGCATGTTAAAAACAATCACATCAAAGAAAAAGTATACACGGGCTTCCCTGGTGGCTCAGTGGTAAAGAATCCGCCTGCCAATGCGGAGGACATTGGTTTGATCCCTGGTCCAGGAAGACAGCACATGCTGTGGAGCAACTAAGCCCGTGAGCCGTAACTACTGAGCTGGTGCTCTAGAGCCCAGGAGCTGCAATTACTGAAGCCTGCCCTAGAGCCTACGCTCCACAACAAGAGAAATCACTGTAATCAGAAGCCCATTCACAGCAACAAACATCCAGCTCAGCCAAAATAAATAAGTAATTTTTAAAGTATACAGATAAAAANTACCATCTGAGCCACCAGGGAAGCCCATGAATAATGGAGTAGGTAGCCTATCCTTTCACCAGGGGATCTTCCCAACCCAGGAATCGAACCAGGTCTCCTGCATTGCAGATAGATTCTTTACAAGCTGAGCTACCAGGGAAGCCCACACACACACACACACACACACACGTATTTATATAAGCCCATATACATATATATATATATATGGAGATATATATATATATGTAAATGGATGGTTGGATGACGTACTACACCAACAAATTCAGCTCTAAGTGATGGAAAAAAATAATCTAGTGCCCATGTTTCATAGCAAGGGACTAAAATCAGGGAATTGTGGTTCTGGTCCTGTGCGTCATCCAAAAGTCACTCTTCTTTTGAAATCCTCTATCATTTCATAAGGTGAATAAATACTGTTCCTACATTTCTGACACGGCATCCTCAACTCCACAGAATTTGGCCAGCTCATCAATTCCTTCTTCTTGGATGACGGTGCTATCAACATCAAAGCACACTGCATCAGCTGAACAGAAAAGATTCTTTAACTCTGAATGGGAGACCATCTTTGGAAGAATTTTCCTCCTACAACAGAAAAAGATAAATCTATTTAAAGACATAAAATATAATCATCTGTTGTTGTTGTTTTGTTGCTACGTGTTTTCTTCTTTTTTGCCCCCTGGTGTGTTGTAGGTCGGGCGTCCTTGTTGTTCCTTATTTTCTGGCGTTTTTTGCCGTTGTTGTTGTTTGTTGTGGTGGTGCTGTCCTCCCATTTTTTCCTCTTTTGTTGTCTTCTTCTTTTGCCTTCTCTCCTTCCCAGCATCAGACAAAATATAATCATAAAAAGGTCTAATTTTGCCTACGAATGTCAATATATTGTATTTCGTATCAAAGTCACTGAAGCCCGTATAAGCATGTCCTTATGGATTCATTCTTTTTTTTTTCTAATACAAATTAAGCACCTTCTAAATGTCAGGCTCTAGGGCTACAAAGTTGAGTGGAGACCCAGATTCTGCTCCCAGAAATTAAGTCTAGTGTAGGTTATCAATTTATGAATGTATGTGATTTTCAACCAATATTCACGTACTTTTGACCTAATCAGAGCAATAAGGCAAGTGCTACAATGGAAATGTGCATAAGATACTGTCAGCACACAGAGGAAATGGTTAACCTTGTCCATGAGACAGGCTTCCAAGAGATACAGGCATTTGAGCTGAATCTTGCAGAGGAAGTGGCCTTCTCCATGGGCTCTCAAAGGGAAGGGTATCAGTTTGTTGTGTCCTGAGAATAAGCCAGAGGGAGAACAGCAGCAAGGAGGGGGGTAGTGATGGCAAAGGGAAGAACATGTGCAAAGACAAGGCGGCAGAATGATGGCTGATGAGTTGGGAGCTGCCCAACGGCCCAAGCCAAATGGCAGGCAGTGTACGGGCAGTTAGTATGGGCGGGCTAAGAGGCTTTTTTTTTTTTTTAACTTTGCTGGGTCTTCATTGCTTCACACAGACTTTCTGTAGTTTCGGCGATTGGGGACTGCTGTTCATTGCGGTAGATGGACTTCTCATTGCCATGGTTTCTCTTGTCGCAGAGCACAGGCTCAAGAGCTGAGGCTCAGGAGTCGTGGTGCATGGGATCAGTCGCCCCACAGCCTGTGGGATCTTCCTGAACCAGACATCAAACCCGTGTCCCCTGCATTGGTAGGCGGATTCTAATCCACTGGACCACCAGGTAACTTAAGGAGTCTGGATTTTAACATTCTAGCTAACGGAAGGACTTACCTGGTGGACCAGGAGCTAAGACTCCATGCTCCCAATGCAGGGGACCCAGATCCAATTCCTGGTCAGGGAACTAGATGCCACATACCTCAGCTAAGAGTTCATATGCTGCAACTAAAGCTTGGTGCAGCCAAATAAGTAAATATTGGTGGTGGGGGGGGGGGGGGACTTTTAGCTAATAGGAAACCTTGAAAGGCTTTACACCTCAGAAGTCAGAGCTAAATATACACGTGAGTTTGTTTCCGGTGCAGAGGTGGTAACTGAAGCCACAGGCTGCTGGAAGAGAGAGTAGAGAAAGGGGAAAAGGAGAAGGCTGAGGACAGAGCACACAGGAGCAGGACCATCAAGTCAGGAGCCTGCGAAGGAAAACGAGAGGGAGCAGTCACAGGGAGGAGCTGAGAGACCACAGCGCTGCAGGAGCTACGGAGGGCAGCTGCAAAAGAATGTTGAGTATTTTTTTATTTTTTAAGAAAATTGGGGCTTCCCTGATGACTCAGTGGTAAAAAAAAAAAAAAAAAAAAATTNTTAAAAAAAAAAAAATCCACCTGCCAATGCAGGAGACACCAGTTCAACCCCTGGTCCAGGAAGATCCCACGTGCCATGGGGCAGCTAAGCCCATGCTCCCCGACTACAGAAGCCCTTGCACCTTAGAGCCTGTGCTCCACAACAAGAGAAGCCACTGCAGTGAGAAGCCCCAACTCGCCACAACTGGGGAAAAGCTCAAGCAGTAACAAAGACCTAGCACAGCCACAAATAAATAAAATTATTTTTAAAAAAAGAAAGAAAATCAATGGACTAGAGTCTTGGAGGTGAACCAGATCCTAGAGGTCGTCCGGGTCCACTCTCCCATCAAAGAAACTAATACATCATGTACAAGGTACACGGACCATGCAAATCAGCATAAACAGTGGCTGACAGCTGACTCACCGGAGCCTGCCCAACCCACTTTGTAACTGATTACAAACCAGTGCATGTGGTAGAATGATCCAGTTCAAAGCTGACCTGGAGGGAAAAAAATCTTTCAAGCCAGGGAGTCAGCAAAACACAGCCAGTAGGCCAAATGCAGCCTGCCACCTGTTTTTGTACAGCCTGTGAAGAATGAATTTTACATTTTAAATAGTTGGAAAAAGTAGAAGAGTAGTATTTTGTGATATATGCAAGTCACATAAAATTCAAAATTCAGTGTCGGTAAATAAAATGTTATGGGAACATAGCCACGTTCATCATTTACGTGTCTATAGTGACTTCCCCACAAGAGCAGACAAGCTGAGTAGCTGTGTCAGAGACACTATGGTCTGGAAAGCCTGAGATACATACTGTCTGGCCCTTTAGAGAAAAATTTTGCTGATCTTTGTTTTGAGCCCTTACAAAAGAGTACTCCAAACAGGAAACACCAATTTCATTGGAGTCCCACTAAAAACAGGCAGAGGAGGGTGAATTAATGAATCCAGTTAGACAACAGAATTCAAAACTCTGCACTGACATTATCAACCTAAATTTGAATAAGTCTCCATAGAAGAGAAGTATTTTTCAAAAACATGAATACAAAACACATCTGCTGCTGGTTATCTATTGGGTTTTCTGTAAGAGATTATGAAAAAACCCAATCGACTTTTTGGCCGACACAATACGATCTGTTTTTTACCCCCAACATTATGTTCTTGTTCAAGCTGACCCCTCAAGTTAGAGGACCAACTTCCCAGGTTCACATATCTGCTCTTGGAGGCTAAGCTTCCTTGCTGGTTGGTTCTCTTAATGTAATAGCCCACGGTCTGTACTTGGTCTTCTCTACCTATATACACTCCTTGCTAAGTGCTAAGTCACTTCAGTCATGACCAACTCTTTGCAACCCTATGGACTGTAGCCCACCAGGTTCCTCTGTCCCTGGGAATTCCCAGGCAAGAATATTGGAGTGGGTTGCCATTTCCTCCTCCAGGGAATCTTCCCCACCCAGGGATCAAGCTGGAGTCTATTATGTCTCCTGCTTTGGCAGGGGGATTCTTTACCACTAGCGCCACCTGGTCACTCCTTAGAGGAATTAATTTATCCAAGATCATAGCTTTAAATGTCAGCTCTATGACAGTAACTCCCAAATGCACACCTGCAGCTCAGTGTTCTCTCCCAAACCCTAAACTCTATCTACTTACCTGACTTCCACTCAGATGTTTAGTGAACATCCCAAACATAAAACATAACATCCAAAACTGAACTCCCAGTCTTCCCTCCCCTCCTCAAAGCTGCAATTTTTCAGCCTTCCTTCTCTTTCTTGATGGCAACTCCACTCCTCAGTCACCTTTAACATTTCTCTTTCCCTGAAATCCCACATCCAATCTTTCAGGAAATGCTATTTGTTCTGCCTTTAGTTTTTTTTTTTTTTTTTGGCTGAGCCCTGCAGCATGTGGGATCATAGTTCCCTGAAAAGGGATCAAACCCATACCCGCTACAGTGGAAGTGTGAAGTCTTAACCACTGGACCTCCTGGAAAGTCCAGTTCTTTCTTTAAGAGCTAACCAAAACAAAATCTAACCAAAGTATGACCACTTCTCACCCATCCACTGCTGTTGTTCCAGCCTGCACCAATGTTTCTAGCCAAGACGGTACCAACAGCCTCTTAAAATGTCCCCACCTCTACTATCTGCTCTCAGCATAACAGCCAGACAACCACTGTAAGCTATAAGCCAAATCATGTCACAATCTTAGCTCAAAATCCTTCAGTGGCTTTTCATTTTACTAAAAGTAAATGCCCAAGTTCCTATGATTACCTATAAGATCTGCCCCCCAACTCTGGCACCACCACCACCAGCATGCCCTCCCCATTACTGCTCTGGCCTCATCTCCTACCCCTCTCACCCTTGTTCACTCTGTTCCAGCCTCACTGGTCTTCTCGCTGCTCTACAAATATACCAGGAAGGCTCCCCTCTTAGGGTCTTTGCTCTAGCTTCGCCGTTGGTGGGAATGCTCATCTCGCGAATACCCGCTTGGCCAGTTCCCTCAGAAGCAGTTTGCCCAGAAGTCAACCTGACCACCCTGTTTATCACTATAACCCCCTTCCCTGACCTTACCTCTGACATTACTGATCTCCCTCATGATGCCCTACTTCTTTTCTTCTGTAACATCTCTCATCTTCCACCACCTGATAATATATGTCTATTATGTGTTGCCTATCTGTTCCCATTAAGATGTAAATTTCACAGGAGTAGGATCTTTATCATCTTTGTTCACTGCTGGATCCTTAGGACTGAGAACGGTACTTGGCACGTAGCAAGGCTCAGTAAGTCTTCCCAGATGGCACTAGTGGTAAAGAACTTGCCTGCCAATGCAGGAGACAAAACAGATTCAGGTTCAATCCCCGGGTCAGGAAGATCTCCTGGAGGAGGGCATGGCAACCCATTCCGGTATTCTTGCCTGGAGAATCCGCATGGACAGAGGAGCCTGGCGGACTATAGTCCATGGGGTCACAAAGAGTCGGATATGACTGAAGTGATTTAGCATATGCACAAGGCTCAGTAATGTGTGTAAATGAATAAAGCTCAAATGCCATCTTCACTATGAAGTCTTCCCTGATCCCCTGAGCTGGAAAAAATCTCTCCCAGAACTTCCACAGTACTTTATGGAGACCTGCTTTAAGATATGGAATTCATAATAATCCAACTGATATTGATCTACGTGCATATCACTTTCACTCCTGGGTGGCAATCTCTTTGTACTAAGATACAAAATTTTTCAAAACACCTATTGTTTTGAACCTTTTCTGAGTAGAAACTCAATTAATTTCTGAAAGTTTAATGAATAAATAAAATGATACAATTGTGAATTA